GCGCTGCACAATCGGGCTAGACTGACAGATGCTGAAGGGTTGCTGGTGGTTGAATTGTCATTTTAATTATAAGTGGTACGGCTTTGCGCCGATCCGTTCAGATAATGCATTTCCATTAACACTTCTGTACTGCTGACTCCCAGTAGGTCGTACATATTTTGTGTTATTAATAACACTGATAGTACGGTCACCTTGCAACTTCTCGACTCGGTACTTCATCGGAAACGCATGGTTTGTTTGTTCTGATAAGATCAGGGGAGCATCAACAAGCATTTACCAAATTACATTAAGTGTTTTGACCTTGAGGAACCAATAAATTCGGAGAATTTGCCGCAGTTATTTGTGGCTGACCTCATGGTTTACGGACTACCAGTACACCACCGCTGATAAGGCCCCAGTGTACTAAAACTTCGGGTCATGCTCCTTCTATTACCAAATGCTAAGGACAAATGCTAACTCGATAAGAATCTTAAATCGGTATTTTTCTTACTTTGTCGAATTATCGACCCGGGATTTAAAATATCCAGCGTGAGCTCAGGATATTGCCATGGCCGGGACTTCAACACGCGCGTGTCGTCCTCACACGTGCAGAAAGAACCAAACGGAGTGAAATTTGTCAGCAACTTGTTCAAGACAGTGTCCTGAGACGGATCTTCCTGCTCAAACCACACACAAAACACATGAGACTAGATCAACTGTCAAGTTGGTTCAGAATTATAACTGTTAATTGTTATTAGAATTAGTGAGACAATGACAACAATGTGTTAGTTTAGCATGGGGAAGATGCTAATGTTCTCGCCCCCAGGCACCTGGCAGACAAATAGCGTGATCAAGAGTTCTCGTGGTCAGTCAACAGGATCTTAACAGGGGGTCAGTTATAAAACAGGGGGTCAGTTATAAAACAGGGGGCCAGTTATAAAACAGGGGGTCAGTTATAAAACAGGGGGTCTGCAGTTATAAAACAGGTCAACAAAGTTAGGTAAGATTTGTATCTCCCCCTATTGCAAAGTTAACGTGTCTGCTTTTGACAGAACCCCCTTAACTTTAACCAAGGAGATCGTTCGTAATTAAACTTAATTAACCAATAATACATGTGGGAGGGTATTCGGGAAAACAAAGAATTTCGGCTTAGATTTTTGTTAATATACCGCCTCCCATTTTCTAACTTTTAAAAATAGTTTTAATATTTCATGTACCATGAAATAAAATTTTTATCACTGCAAGTTCTATCAGCTGACTAAATAAGTTTTGCCTTTCCAAATTTCACTGAACTGAAGTATTTTACCCAGATTCGAAACAAAAAATTAGTCTTAATTAAATTCACATCCAAGATAAAAACCTTTACATCATACTTCACGAAAATTCTATTTAATGGTTAAATCCTTATCTACACAAAGCTTGAATTATCTTGTACCTAAAATACAGTGATCAGCTAAAGATAACCAAGCGTGACGGGAGGTAGAAACGTTTTTGACGGTCATTGTTAAAATAACCCGTACCAGCCTGACCATTACTCAAAACTAAAGTTCAAACACCGACAGGATACGGCTTCATCAGATCAAATCAAATTTACAATCACAATTCACATACACACCGGAACTTCTTAAGACTTTGCTCGTGCCGAAACTCGGCTTATTGGCGACCCATTAAATCAATTATACAATTACCTAATGAAGATACCGGCACCAACAATTTGCACGATACAAATGCCAGCTATGATCACCAATTCTTGTATAGCGTATTGTTTGTAACCCAGCACTTCTAGACAAAGGAGATACCACAAGAAAAGTGACATAGATTGCGGCATATTGATGAATTGGCATGGATCAGTAATCATATCAGGAGTTATACAGATCATAGCTTGTTGACGTTTATAGTGTCTGATTCTACCCTGGATTGATCGTTATCAACCCACAATCCGCACCCCAAAACTCAGTTATAAGAATTGTTTGCCCTGCCTGTGCAACCCACAATCCGCACCCCAAAACTCAGTTATAAGAATTGTTTGCCCTGCCTGTGGTGATCAAACCAGCGTAGATACTGGCACGGGTGCAAGTTCTAGAGAATAAAAGGATATAAAAAGATACCATCTTATCCATACAGGAGAGCAGGAGTAACCGGGGCTTTGTATCTGATACCATCTTATCCATACAGGAGAGCAGGAGTAACCGGGGCTTTGTATCTGATACCATCAGTAATCTAATCATTCTTAGCATCTATTATCTTATTATTCAATAAGTAAACCAATAATTTAGCACGTGCTTCTGCTCACAAACACTTCGTTTAGCCCACGAATTACTCCTTATATTTATATATAATAGAGGGCATTGTTTGGTTAATATAATATTAATAGAGTGCATTGTTTGGTAGGTTATGGATTAAAACACGAGAATTTGTTTGAAAGCTGTGAGTTTTAATGTCGCCTGTGGAGGGTGTGAGAATGTTTATCAAATTTAAGTGCAGTTTTTGTTTTGGTTGACTGGATATTTGGAATTTCCGGTGAAACTGATTACTGATTGATTACTCGTGCGAATAAATGGGTTAAAGTTAAACAATTTACTGGTGATAAGCAGGAAATTCCAGAGGGAACTGCTAAATTTGCAGCCATCCAAAAACTGCAACAAATTTAAAGATTTCTCATTAACACTGTGCTACTAATGTGCCTCTAATTCGAACAGTTATTTGAACAGTAGTTCAATACAATGTATTATATGTCTCAGTCTAGTGCCTAGTAGGAGGCGGATTATCGTTGTGAAGTACTGTACTGTGAGTGTACTGTACTGTGTACTGTATTGTTAATGTACTGTGAACGTACTGTGACCGTACTGTGACAGTACTACTGTGAATGTATTGTGAACTTACCATTAACACACGATGTTTAATGAGCAAGCTCGACTCCCAGTAGTTCAATATAGTCACAGTCACTGACTATAATCGAGGTTTAGAAGCTCGGTTCCCCATAACAATAATTAGCGGATCCCCACGTAATTACGTAACGTCGCGGATTATGAAGTTGACATTTCCTACTTTCTGCATTTTGTTTCTACAACTTGTAGACAACCACATCAAAGTTAGAACCTTAGTCTACAAAATCAACAATACGCGATATTGTTCGCAGTTCATCATCCCTGCTTAAATCACTGACATTGAAAAGCTGTCATCTTTCGGCTGAAAGATTTGTGGCGATATTCAAATTCAGATGTTAACTGTAGTAAAGCGTTCATCTAAGATCATGGCAAGATCTTGATATTAATTTAACTCTACACACTACAACCCCATCTTTAATCCACAATTGACTTCAAAAAACCACCCATTGTTATAACCAGCTGTTACTAGAAGGGTTGAAAAAACCTTCACCTGGTAAGTGGTAACCCTGTTGCCTACACAAGAGCAATTCTAACTGCATAGTTTTTGGTGAACAAACTGATCATATCTGCACTAAATTATATGTGGTGTGCACTCTGCACACTAAACTTTTCTCAATAATGTTAAAACATTTAAAATGAGAACCCACCATATATTAAGTATTGACCTATTAAGGGGCCGGGGGGTCTTCATAAAATCGATTTCGAGAGAATTTTGATAAAGACCCGGCCACCTTAACAATACAGACAGTCATGAATCTTGCTGTCTAGTACTCGTCTAGATTGCAGAACGATAACCAATATTCAGTACTGTAAACAGTACATTTTTAACATTGTGGTTTTAAACATTTTGTTATAAAGCAGCTGCAGTGAGGAACATCATGTTTTGTTCCCAAATATCACCCTTTTCTGCTGAATCAGACATCAGTAATTCAAAATCGGTGGGTATCTTAAAAAGGCATGGTTTATTCGAAAGGATATTATGACAACTACAAAAGCGCGTACAGTACTCAAAATAATTTGATTGACCACAATAATTTGATTGATAATTCGATTGACCTTATACTTATATATATTAAGCATTATCCTAAACATAATTCCGCCATGAATAATTTACATTTCATCAAAATGTTTTGTCAAATTTAAAGCCACTTAATCCTGGCTCTGATTGCCCGCTCAAGACTTAGAGGCCAAGCTACCTGAAAACCCGCCCTTTGCGGAACCGTGAACGAGCACAAAAATTAGTCCTCCTGAACATTTTATATGATATATAACACACTAAAAGAATTTATTGACCCGAGATGCTGAAGAAGGTTTAAAGGTGTTAACAATACTGGGAGTAAATATAGACGATCCTCTGTAACTCCTCAGTGTTTTGGGCACACAAATTCCGGGGGGCAAGTGGTACCGATTATCTCGAGTAATTCCTGATAAGTTGTGACGGGAGAAATTCTCAACATTGTGTGCCCATTAACCAATTTTACAATTATATTAATTATAACGGGTATTTTAGATAATCTGCCATCTCTAATCCCGCATATGCCCGGGAAAAAGGGAACTGTCAAGCATGGAAACCCATTCAACCTACCAATCAGTCTGTTGACATCCAATCAGTCTGTTGACATCCAATCAACAGACCAGCACCTTGAACTCCAGACAGACCTATCTGAGGATCCGTATCACCTTGGTGGTGCACTCGTAGTTAAAACAAGCAACAAAACAATGTGAGGTTGTTTCCTCATCACGCCTTGTTTGCGCAACAAGCACCATTCCTAATTAAGTCCTCAGAGGTTGCTTCTCAAAATATACTCACATCTAATTGACCGAATAGGAGGACTCTGCCTCAAATCTCACTTTCAGCACGCAATCCGTGGGAGATAGCACCAGGACCGCGCGCGGCGCAGTCACGTGCCCGACTCATATCACGTGTTCTTGTGTAACACTCGCCATTCTAGACCAGTATCGGGTATCACGTGACGGCATCATATCACGTGAGAAGCACGTGACCACAACCCTAACGTTACTCGAGTACCTACCTTACTTAAACCGGGCCCACTTCGTTACATCATTAATTCAGTTCGTCCCATTGTTCCGATCGTTTGTTATTTGCAGCCAATTACCCAAGTTAGCGATATCATGGTCATCACCACCGCGGCAAAACCTCACCCTTTCTCGATAGAAAACATCCTGAAATCAGCCTCTCCCAAACCCCAGAAACCCCTCTTCTCCTACAACGCTCTTATTGCTATGGCTATCTCACAAAGCCCCCAGAAGAAGCTGACCTTATCGGAGATATACGAGTTCATTATACAGACTTTCCCGTACTACAGGGATAATAAGAAGGGATGGCAGAACAGTATCCGACATAATCTCAGTCTCAACAAGTGCTTTGTTAAGGTTCGTCTTGCTTCTTGTTTCGTTAGCTACAATTTACTTTATATTTATGAGAGGAAATCTGGACGGTCAAGATGAGAGCACCTCAACAAAATAATGATAAAATTATCTAAGTGCTATTTTGCGAGCTTTGTTAAATCGTTCATTAGCCTACAAATTTACGATTAAAAGTACATAGCTGCTTACTAGATTTAAGGGGAAATACACCAAAAACGTTTTTGCTCCGAACATCGATTTTATTTTATATTATGGTTAAATAGACAAAAAGAATAAGATTGCACACCTTTAAAATTTTCTAAAAATATTCCCTCATCGAGAAAAAAATGATTTTTCTTTTTCGAAAATTTTTAAAATTTTGAGAAGTCTGTCACTGTAATACCGATAGTTCGGCCATTTTAAAAGTTTTTTAGCTGATTGTTTTACTAAACATTACTTACAATCCGTACAAGATGTCATTGAAAGGATTATATAATTGAACGATAAATGACGAAGTTACAGACCAAACAAGGTCAGAAAAATAAAAATTGAAATTTTTCCCACTTCTAAAGTTGTACATTTCACCAATCACCCGGGTCAGCAGATATCGCTTCAAAAATTCTTGTGAGTGTAGCTGATGATCATATCAAACTTTTTGGAGTAGGATTTCTCTCAGATTTGAGTTTTAAGCTATGCAATGTGGCCTCAAACGACTTAGTAAAATTCATCGTAAAAAAGGGCAAAAAAGGCAGATTTAAGGCCTAAAATGCCTATAACTCAAAAAGAATCAGTTTTTTTGAAATAATTTTTACAGGATCGTAATCAGCTTGGTAAGACGAATCTTTTAGTACGACATTTATAATATTTAAAGACACAAAATTTGTAAAAAAATGTGTACAATTTGTACAAAATTTATACTTGTGTTCGAGCTAGAAAATTATTTAAGACAATTTGTCTTCTAAAAGCACCTATTTGGTACTAAAAGATTCGTCTTACCAAGCTGATTACGATTCTGTAAAAATTATTTCAAAAAAACTGATTCTTTTTGAGTTATAGGCATTTTAAGCCTTAAATCTGCCTTTTTTGCCCTTTTTTACGATGAATTTTACTAAGTCGTTTGAGTCCACATTGCATAGCTTAAAACTCAAATCTGAGAGAAATCCTACTCCAAAAAGTTTGATATGATCATCAGCTACACTCACAAGAATTTTTGAAGCGATATCTGCTGACCCGGGTGATTGGTGAAATGTACAACTTTAGAAGTGGGAAAAATTTCAATTTTTATTTTTCTGACCTTGTTTGGTCTGTAACTTCGTCATTTATCGTTCAATTATATAATCCTTTCAATGACATCTTGTACGGATTGTAAGTAATGTTTAGTAAAACAATCAGCTAAAAAACTTTTAAAATGGCCGAACTATCGGTATTACAGTGACAGACTTCTCAAAATTTTAAAAATTTTCGAAAAAGAAAAATAATTTTTTTCTCGATGAGGGAATATTTTTAGAAAATTTTAAAGGTGTGCAATCTTATTCTTTTTGTCTATTTAACCATAATATAAAATAAAATCGATGTTCGGAGCAAAAACGTTTTTGGTGTATCTCCCCTTAAGTAAGGAGCAATTTTAGCTCTAACAATAACTTCACGATAATCCCCCCACTAATAGTAACTTTCTCTCCAGGTTCCCAGACATTATAACGACCCTGGTAAAGGTAACTACTGGATGCTCAACCCCAACTCGGACGAAGTTTTCATCGGAGGAAAGCTGAGAAGGCGCCCAGGACAGAACGGGGGGAGTTTGGAAAGTTATATGCACTTAAAAACCCGGACATCACCCTACCAGAGATCGGAAACAGTTTGTAAACGGGACAGGATAGTTTACCTCGCTAACAGTGGAAATTCCGTGGCAAACTGCCAGTTTTACCAGTCAGCACCACCCTCCAGTTCCCCTAATTCTCTGACCAGAACCACGTTACCCTCACACAGCTCCTCCAACACACTGACCTTCCCTCCGCAAAGTTATATCCAGACTATGTCTCCCAACCTAAGTCCAGTGAGGTTAACAGGAAACAACCAGATCACCTCACCCCGACAGACAATGATCCCTTCATCCTCGCTACCTCTTCTAACCTCACACAGATCTCCCAACACATCATCTCTACCTCTCCTAACCTCACCTACCTCCCTGCAGAACAACCTCTCGTCCCCTCCCCTCTCATCTCTCTCCACCAACTTACCCTCGCCTCCGCTGAGCAGTTCCGATGTGCTCATGTCACCTTTCCTGAGACACAACGTCGAGTACAGCTCCCAGAACTTTCTAGAACACATGATAAGAATCAGGGAACAAGTGCAAAAATCTGGACATTTTTCGGTCGCTGAGCCAAGAGGACTTATCTATCAGCCAATTCCAAGAAAATCTTTGTAATATTCTATTGATTCGCGTTTGATAAGCTTTTATGCTGGTAGCTGCTGTTTGAAGCTTGAAAATTTCCAGTATACTGTAAGTCTAAGCTTGTCCTTAGTTTGACGTAATTTTATGAATTATGTTCGTTTTGGGTGTAGATTTATCAGTTTTATGATACTGTTAAAGGCAGCTTAGTGGTTAATATTTTAGTAATTTTATTGATTTTAAATAAAAAGCCCTGTTCAAAGCAATATTAAGTTCAGATCTACGTGAAATCATTATTTCTAAATTATTTTCACCTCCCAAACATACCTTACTCTTGAAGATAACGTTTTGAACGGGTTTGAACGTTTGTATTTCAGAATCATTTGACTGAGGCAAAATCTTTCAGACGTTATATTTGTAAATTTGCTTTCAATATTTTACAGAACCTTAATTCAAATGTCATATTTCTTTTTTTAAACCAAGTATAAATCACTGCCATGTTAACGGTTGTGGCGTTGTAGCTCCATCCAACTGAAAAATTTTACGGAAATACATTTTAAAAAAGGTTCACCCTTATTAATTACTTGGTGATGCACCTGGTCAACAGGGAAGCTGATTGGTTGATTGCTGTCACGTGTCAAAAAAACACGTTCCATTTTTCAGGATTACCGGACTCAGAGTTGAGTGTTTCACTCCAGTCCCTTCACACACACACGTGGTGAGTTAAAGTATTATCTCATATGCTGTCTCGTCTCGTTTTACTTTTCCAAACCCAGCTGGCATTTAAGCGTATCATTTTGACTCATACCACTTATTACACCATCCTCCACCATTCACTTTTATTTCACCGGCAACCTTCCCCAGGGTTGCCACACCCAAGAGGTAGGCAGAGCATCTCAATGCTATCCTCTCGTGGGCTATCTTGACCCAGCCTCTCTTTTAAAAATTTTTAAAAAACACACACACGTGAGGGCTACATGGTAACGGAAGGGTCGAGACAAGTCCCCCGGAAATACGGTAAGTATCTCCACAAATCCTGAACCTACCCTAGCTGCAGCCTGATTCTGATAAATTGGTAGCGCCCACCTAAACAATAGTAACACATACAGGGGACTATACCTACTGTAAACAAGCATTACAGAGCGTCTCAGTGACCCAGTCCCAGTCATTGGGGGCTAATTATTTAATTAGGTAATGGTAATGAGGGAGCAATATACTGCAGTATGCGTGTCAGACTATTGTAGTGTTACTGTCACGGTGTCCGCCTCTTTATAACTGTGACGGCTCTATGTAGCTACTACTGTCCCCCTATTGTTGGTGAGTTGGGAGACTTAACGAGGAAATGATGACAAATAGGGGGTAGTCCACTACAAAGCTATTTGTCTGTGTTACTGAAGGAAGTTGGGACAAACTCTAATAAGAGGAACTGTAAACTCTGATGACGGGACAGGGAAGGAGGGGGTTATCTGGCGTAGATAGGACTTGGTTCAGATTAATAGTAGTAGTAGTAGCAGAACCTGTAGTAGTATTAGTAGTATACTACTACTATAGTAGTAGTAGTAGTAGTAGTAGTAGTAGTAGTAGTAGTAGTAGTAGTAGTAGTAGTAGTAGTAGTAGTAGTAGTAGTAGTAGTAGTAGTAGTAGTAGTAGTAGTAGTAGTAGTAGTAGTAGTAGTAGTAGTAGTAGTAGTAGTAGTAGTAGTAGTAGTAGTAGTAGTAGTACTAGTAGTAGTAGTAGTAGTAGTAGTAGTAGTAGTAGTAGTAGTAGTAGTAGTAGTAGTAGTAGTAGTAGTAGTAGTAGTAGTAGTAGTAGTAGTAGTAGTAGTAGTAGTAGTAGTAGTAGTAGTAGTAGTAGTAGTAGTAGTAGTAGTAGTAGTAGTAGTAGTAGTAGTAGTAGTAGTAGTAGTAGTAGTAGTAGTAGTAGTAGTAGTAGTAGTAGTAGTAGTAGTAGTAGTAGTAGTAGTAGTAGTAGTAGTAGTAGTAGTAGTAGTAGTAGTAGTAGTAGTAGTAGTAGTAGTAGTAGTAGTAGTAGTAGTAGTAGTAGTAGTAGTAGTAGTAGTAGTAGTAGTAGTAGTAGTAGTAGAACCTGTAGTAGTAGTAGTAGTAGTAGTAGTAGAACCTGTAGTAGTAGAACCTGTAGTAGCAGAACCTGTAGTAGTAGAACCTGTAGTAGTAGTGGTAGTCCTCTATCTCCCTATCACTCTATGTGAGGTGTGACCACAGTAGCAGACTGTCTATGTGTTGGTAGAGATAACTGGACTGGAAAGTGTTCTGTGTAGTGGTGATGTGAGTGGTGAACTTTAAAATCTTTTTGGATGATAATCCAAATTTCAGGACTCTGTACTTTAATTATCAACATGATTATGTCTCATGACGAAGATCTTGCAGTTTACCAATTAAAGAAGCGTTGATTGATAAATGAAATAAATTCATCCGTTCAAGATAAAATACTTTGGCAAACCCACAGAAATATATGTACGGCCCTTAATTAAAAGCAAATTACAAATATTTCATAAAAGTGTACCGTCCCTCACAAATACTTATTCAGAGTTACTCCAATATTTGTAGCGAGATTGTGGCACCCACCCTGCTGTGCAACTCACGTTTATGATGATAAGAAGTGTTAAACCAATTAGTCAGTTAATTGATGATGGTATGAAACCAAATTGGGGTACTGGAAGTCAAAATCTCGGAAAAAATTGGAAAATCATACTGTCCCATACTCTGTCCCATTTTCAGTTTTTGAAGCTGAAACTTCCAGGGCCGAAATTTTACAGTTTTGGCCGAATTTCTGACCCGCAACCAATAAGTCAGTCAACTATAGATGCCAAATGACACGATTGAGGTACTGGAAGTTTGATTCGGGTCGGAGGAAGCTCACAGCAGAAATGTTAAGAAAACAAAAAGTTGTATTTTCAAAACTCTGTCACATTTTCAGATGTGAAAATTTCTGAACGCACATTTGACAGATTGGATGAAATTTTTGCCCACAAACCAATTAGTCAGTTAATTGGTGATGGTATGAAACTAAATTGGGGTACTGGAAGTCAAAATCTCGGAAAAAATTGGAAAATCATACTGTCCCATACTCTGTCCCATTTTCAGTTTTTGAAGCTGAAACTTCCAGGGCCGAAATTTTACAGTTTTGGCCGAATTTCTGACCCGCAACCAATTAGTCAGTCAACTATAGATGCCAAATGACACGATTGAGGTGCTGGAAGTTTGATTCGGGTCGGAGGAAGCTCACAGCAGAAATGTTAAGAAAACAAAAAGTTGTATTTTCAAAACTCTGTCCCATTTTCAGATGTGAAAATTTCTGAACGCACATTTGACAGATTGGATGAAATTTTTGCCCACAAACCAATTAGTCAGGTAACTGATGATGGTATGAAACCAAATTGGGGTACTGGAAGTCAAAATCATTCTGTCCCCAGTCCCATACTCTGTCCCATTTTCAGTTTTTGTAGACAACTGGGAACCTCTCATTCTGACCTCCCACAGCTGTATCACATCACACACGGGGATTAATGACTTTCTCTACAAGAAAACGGGTCTTGTAGGCCACGTGAAGGAACTTTACTCACATCTGCTTAACACCACAGCAGCACAGATATGCTTCTCAGCGCTGATACCCTCCTCTAATGACTCTTATATCAATGACAGGTTACGTATCATCAACGAGGAGATCAGAAACCATATAACTTGGCTCCACAACCACAAGCCGGAAGTCAAAGATAGGATCTTCACCTTCACAAATGAGAAGATTGGCGACCAAAGCACTTATTCGCCCAGCACAGGCTTCAAACTCAGTCAGAGAGGCCAAAACATGCTCTGGCTTCGCCTCAGGGAAGGTCTGAGGAAGACATTACGCCTCCCCCGATTAAGTTACCACGAGGGCAACAAAGCAAGACGCAGCACTAACAGGTATAGCGATGACTAAATCTACATCAAAGAGGTCCCGGCACTCCCTTAGGTTCCTGTGTTGGAACATCAACCACTCTCGGGACAAAACTGAAGGACCTAAAGTCGACATACCCGAAATCCAAGATCTCTTCAAAAGCCACGATATCTTTGCACTGCAAGAAACTAAAGGGGAGATTAACTTTAGTAACTACTGCTGCTTTAACTCAAACCGAAAGGGGTCAAATTCTGGTGGTGTCTGTATTGGAGTCCATAAAAGCCAACAAGCCGGTGTAACTCATGTCCAGATGAACGCCTCGGAGGACATCGTTGTAGTTAAGCTGAAAGCCAACTATTTTGATCTTGAGAGGAACACCTATTTAGTTAATGTATACGACTCTCCAACCAATGGTTCTTTCAAGAAGCGGAGAAGAGATATAGAAACTGATGTCAGCAACTCAACTCTAGAACACCTCCAAGAATTCCTGGCAGATATACCGCTCATCGAGGATGTCATTCTTCTCGGTGACTTTATAACGCTAGAACTGGCACAATGGATGACAATAGACACCTGAAAGACTACGAACTTAACGCCCATTACTGCAAACAGCTGACGAAACGCAACAACTCGGACCTTAAGCTGAACACAAACGGGCGACCCTTCATCGAACTCCTGCAAACAACTGGTCTAGTCATTCTCAATGGTAGGACCCTGGGTGACATTTTTGGTGCACCCACTTGTATTCAACGCCACGGTGTTAGCACTGTTGACTATATCTGCGTATCCACGAGTCTCCACGATAAAATTCGCCAACTCAAAATCGAGAGCATATCCCAGTACTCCGATCACAGGCCACTCTCTATGACTATCTCTACCAATCACCTAAAGAGGATCTCTACCAGTAATGACACTAAAGACATCCAGGATGCACCCAAATCCTTCAAATGGAACAGATCAGAGAATCTCTATGCCGACTCAGCAACCCAGTTTCGCTCGGCACAGAATGATCAGACATTTAAGGACAAAATAGAACACCTCCTTAACCAACCAGCGAACACAGCAGACGAAGCAACACGGCTCAATAGAGATTTGGTCGCAACATACCACAACCTTGCGAATTCGGTTACTACAACCAAACGTGGAACACGTACTAACAAGAAAAAATGGTTTGATCTTAACTGCAGGCGTGCGAAAAGTGCGGCTAGTAGAGCTGACAGGAATGCAAATCGCAACCCACACAGCAATTTCCTTCGCAATCAGCACTTTCTCAAAAAAAAGGAGTACCGGGCTATTAAGAGCACGAAAAAGGGGAAATATCTGTTCGAGATGAATCAAAAGATAAACGAAAGTGGTAATGTTAACTGGGCGGCGCTCAAGCAACTGTCCGAACAACACAAAGATGAAGAGCCATTTGACATTTATGATCTTCTCCTCTTTCATAAATTTTTTAACGACCTTTACAACCGTAAGTGTAGTAAGAATCACCACGCAGATGATGACGTCGTCTCTACTCCCACAACCGACGAGCTGCAGAACACTAAAAACCTAGTCGACAGTTTGAATCGAGACTTCACCTTACAGGAGACAAAAGATGCGATCAAGAAACTGAAGAACAACAAGAGTGTGTCCGATGACCTGATATCAAACGAGATGCTGAAAAACTCCAACGAGCAACTCCAACTTGTTCTAGTTAAGCTTTTTAATGCCTGTCTTCAGTGCGGAACCTACCCTTGGAACAACTCTATCACCACTCCACTCCATAAAAAGGGTGACCGTCAGAACCCCGATAACTATCGGGCCATTACCATTGGCAGCTGTCTTGGCAAGCTATTTTCGAACTTGCTCCTTAAACGGCTGATAGAATTTAGGGAAATAGCTTGTCCCGACCGACCGTATCAACTGGGATTCAGGAGTGGAGCACAATGTAATGACCACTTGCTCACCCTGAACACTATCATAGAGAAATATGTCAAAAAAGAGAAGAAGCGACTATTTGGCTGCTTCGTCGATTATCGGAAGGCGTTTGACAGTGTATGCAGGGATGCACTTCTGTTCAAACTGGGCAACATGGGTCTCTCAGGCAATTTCTTCACTTGCATCAGCCACATGTATAACAACTCGTCAACCCGAGTTAAGCTGATCCAAAAGCTCTCCGCTGCTATCGACGTTACCATCGGCACAGAACAAGGGCACCCGATGTCCCCTGAGCTCTTCAAAGTTTATATCCACGAGCTTTCCATCAGACTGGAACAAATCGAAGAGTTGAATGTCCCAATTTTAAACGGCATCAAAGTAAGCCACCTCCTATGGGCTGACGACTTAGTCCTCCTAGCACTTGACGCGTTCAGCCTACAATCGTTGCTGAATTGCTTGCACGACTATGCAGAAAAATGGGAGTTATCAGTTAACATCGACAAAACCAGTGTGATGGTCTTCAATACAAGCTCACGAACACTTAAATGTTCTTATGGCTTTAAACTAGGAAGCCTGGACATTATACCAGTAAAAAGATACTGCTATCTCGGAATCCAATTCTCTCTGAATGGATCGTTTAAGCAAGCTATCGACGAACTTAGGAAGAAAGCTCTACGCTCATTCTTCTCAATGAGGCGAATTATCAACACGAAAGCGCTCACTACCAGCACGATGCTTAAACTCATCGATAGTCTAGTAAAGCCTGTAGCGACCTATGCATGTCCCGTCTGGCTCTCATCAACAAACATCGTAAAGGCTATCCTGTCGAAAAAAGAAGAAGTGAGCCTGCCTAAATCTGCAGCTAAAGATCCGCTCGAAACAACTCATCTGAAGATTCTCAAATGGATACTAGGCGTTCACAAGAAAGCTAATAACAACTTCTGCTATGGTGACACTGGTAGGACCCCCTGGACAGTTACCGTCATTCCCCAATGTTTAGCTTACTTCCATCGGGCATCCCTGGCGGTAGAAGGTAACGTGAACACTCTTTTTCACCACACCTTTCAAGAGCAAAAGCTACTGAATCTAACCTGGTATGATGCGTGGTCAACTATTGCCAAGATGAGTACAGTCTCCAAGCCGCAGTTATCACCCACCCTAGACGCTTGTGAGTACATACATGAGACATTTGTTGACCATTGGAAGAGAGATCTCCTCAACCAGCCCAAAATGTCTTTCTACACAGCGGTTAAATTCGAGTTTGGCGAAGAACCCTATTTACAGCTCCCCTGCCGGCTTAAAAGGGTCAATATTGCTAAACTCCGATCTAGCAGTCACGATCTTAGGATAGAAAAAGGTCGCTACACCAAAGATCAACTCAACACAGCTCTTAAAACGTGTCGCTTCTGCTGCTCCTCAGAAACGGATGTCATACGTTTTTTAGAAGAGCTCCCCTTCTTTGAAACTCCTATTCTAGAAACCGAAGACCACGTCCTAACTGAGTGCCCCTACTACCATCAACTCAGGTCCAACCTCTCTGACAACCTCAAAAGCCTGTTGATGCTAAAAGAATATGGAGCAATAATGAACTCACCCCATATAAAAGAGTTCGGGAAGTACCTTACAGACTCCTCAAATCTACGTAATCCTCCTAAAACGTCCCTTAACCCTCGCAAACAGATGTAGTACTCGAACTTTATTTACTGTATTACCTTAAATTATTATAGACGATCTTCTTTTATTTTCGTGAAATTGTAAACGGTTAAATTTTACTATTTTTAAATGATTCAGTTTTGATAATTTTATTTATTCATTTATTCATTTATTCATTTATTCATTTATTCATTTATTCATTTATTCATTTATTCATTTATTCATTTATTCATTTATTCATTTATTCATTTATTCATTTATTCATTTATTCATTTATTCATTCTTGTATAGCCAAGACGAGTCCGTTAGTGTTCTCTCTGGTAATTTCATGTTTAATCCTGTTTAATCCTGTTTAATCCATGGCCCAATCAGTGACGTATCATTTGTGATGTGATTTATATTATATCCATCCTAACAGCCGGACAACCAAGAACCTGAGTAGGGTTCGGCATGTGTTCACTCTGCATCTAAACTAAAAAAATCGTTGTCTTAATTAGCGCAGAAATATATACAGCACTGCTGTGAAATCAGTGGACACCTGATTTGAAGTATCTCCAGAGGTTATCAGTTGTCCGGGATATGTAATGATTGGTTCCCATGGTTGTTGGAGCTGATTGGATTTCTCAAGCTTACATGTTAATTAGTTAACTAGGTAAAATTGACAGGTTCCCAGTTGTCCGTCAGCCATTATCAGTAGTAGTGATGTGAGGGGTGAACTTTAAAATCTTTTTGGATGATTATCCAAATTTCTGGACTCTGTACTTTAATTATTAACATGATTATGTCTCATGACGAAGATCTTGCAGTTTACCAATTAAAGAAGCGTTGATTGATAAATGAAATAAATTCATCCGTTTAAGATAAAATACTTTGGCAAACCCACAGATATATATGTACAGCCCTTAAAAGCAAATTACAAATATTTCATAAAAGTGTACCGTCCCTCACAAATACTTGTTCAGAGTTACTCCAATATTTGTAGCGAGATTGTGGCACCCACCATGCTGTGCAACTCACGTTTATGATGATAAGAAAATAAATGATTTTAGCTGATTAGCGATAAACGGTAATGTTCTTTAAACATTGTTTAACATTGTTTAACAACACGTTTAACATTGTTTAACAGCACGTTTAACAGTGTTTAACAGTGTTTAACATTGTTAACACGTGATTTGTTAAGCTACTGATTATGGTCACTCTGCTGCATAAAATATTGCTTAGTAACAATACCTCTTAGTAACCATGTTAATTAGTAACCATGTTAATTAGTAACCAAGGCACTTAGTAACCAAGGCATTTTTAACCTAGTAACATATGTAAGTCACCGAGTAACCAAATTTAAAAATTACCACGCGGCTTGACACGCGTGTTACACAAATTTCATGTAAGTAACTACGAAAGCTCGTCACCAAACGACTTGGTTACTAAACTCCCTAGTTACTTTCATCCCACGTGACCAGGTCACCTGATAGAGTACTTAGTAACCACGTTACTTTCATCACATGCGTACAGGATGATACACGAAGTGTCCCTGAAGCCGGATAACCAGTTAATCTTGTGGCCGTGAAGGAGTTTGAAGGTGCACGTGTCGTCTATATCAGCGTCATCGTCACTCGCTCTGAGGAAAAAGGACGTTAAAACATAAAAGGACGTGAAAAAGACGTGAAAAAGACGTTAAAGTAACGGCGCTGGCTGATACACATTTATTTTTATAAAGATAAAGACAATTTTCCAATCAATTTGGTTGAAGTCACCCTTAAAAAGACAAGATGGGGCAGTACTTGTACAGAAGTAGCCCCACCATGGGGCAAAGCGAGGTGTTTAGAAGGTTACAAAGATCTCGATAGAAATATTAGAATATTAAAATAGTATATAATAGTACTTATTATAATAAGTAACGAAATATGAAACATACATGTCAGAATGTCCGTTACAATGTCCGTTAGTGTGACCTCTCTCAAGTTCAGATATGTGAATAAAACCATCGTTACCACCAGATACAACAGTCGTACCGTCTACCAGACACACACAACCTGCACACAATAATTGTAAATAACATTTTACTTTTAAAATAAATTATAAAACAGAAAACAGAGTGACACTAGTAACCGTCAAGGTGCTAGAAGCAGTATATCCGGAGAAAACTTTGATGCAATAAAAATTTTGAATATTATGTCCTGCCGTCCCCTTGACCGAAATTTCGCGGTCGCGGTTTTGACTGAAATTTTTACTAGTGACCAATCAGTGAGGTCGGAAAGAGTGACCCAAATTTTACTGATTTGACTAAATTTTTCTTCAATGACCATCTTACAAGGTCACTGAATTTGGCACAAGACACGATTGAGGTACTCAATGTTCTATTCACAAAGAAGGCTTTGATAGACCGAAAATCATCAGAATATAAAAAGAGGTTTTGAAAGATTGTTGAAGAGGAGCTTTCCTGCTATCCCCTTGACCGAAATTTCAATCAGTAAGGTCGGTGAGAGTGACAAAAGTCAGCATCAAGGTACTGGAAGCAAAATCTCCAGAAAAAACTTTGATGCAATGAAAATTTTGAATATGTCCTACCGGTAGGACAGTAACCGAAGCGCAAATTTCTTTGATTTTAAGGAAAGTCACAATCAGTATTAAAGTGATCAGATCGTAATCCCCCAACATGCTCGGTACCACCTAATGAGTCTCATTGTTGCCCACTAGTGAATATCACTGACTGGGTGACGAAATCACTGATTAAGTGCCGAGATCACGTATCCGCAAGATCTTAAAAGGGTCACAACTCGGCTTAGTTGAAATTTTAGGAAAGCACTTCAATTATCAAACCAAACGTGTCTGGAAATTTTGAAGTTCCTAACCCAAAACGTTCTCACTTTATGGTGGCAATGCCAATAGAGAAAAAGAGGAAGTGGCGTGCCACACCCTCTGTAATTGATTAAATTTTACGAAAGTTTCAGGAAATCTAAGTTTGACCCATATCTGTATTCTCTGAAATTTTTAAGCAATTCTGATACGAATTACGTGAGTTATTAAAGGGTTGCGTGTGGGTAGTTGCTTATGGGCCACCCTGTTTGTTTTAAATAATCACCCTCCAGACACCACAACCTTTTGCTGGCACCTGGTTGTGTACCACTGCAGTTAAGGTGATGATTTTCCGTTTAACAAAGCTTTCTTTGGGGGTGAAAGATGTATAAGTGATACGAAAAGTTTGTGTAGCAGGAGCTTTCAAAATAAATGTGTAAATGTCTGCAGCTGTGGGATGATATACATGACCCATAATATTATGGCAATTTAAGGCCCCCACCCACTCCCTCACCCTACGCAAAGCCACTTGACAAACAGCTGTTCAGTAGAAATGACATTTCCAAACCCTTCCCTAGGCTGACTTACGTAAAAGGTAAACGATTCCTTTGCAAATTTTTAAACTGCCACTTAAAAATTCAGAATAATATTCGATTAACGCCCAGTTCCCCACGTCTCATGCTAACAGAAAAAGTTGCAACCGCATCGTTTCTACTTTCACAGAACATATAGCTAACTTCCAAGACCTTATAAAGTAGATTTGGAGCACTGGACACCATATCATAATCTAGTGAGTCTTTACTCGTCTTTACTGACGCACCGCAAATTATAAGACGTGACGCAGACTTGTAAAATATAGTCTCGACATTTGGGAGATTGAGAGTAATAGTTATTTCATAAGGACATAACCATCGGGGACAGTGGATACCAAAGGAGTGGGGGATATGCAGATTAAATTACAAATTACAAATTACAACCAGGAGAGCAAAGTAATCTCAGATATTAGGGCAAAAATTCAACGGATAATGAAGATTATAAACGATATTACATTACAGTGGTCAAACCGATTTGAATTTAAGGGATGATGTCGCAAAGCACCAAATAAGGAGCTAATCATGATCGTCAAGGCGAAGTCAAGAAATTTGTCTAAAAATGGTGACCAGGATAAAACCATTTAGCGTGCTCTTTAAATAAACTGCTACACTATATAAACTTAACTCATTTCAACAATTTTACCTTACCTTTGCTCGGATATTAGTTTTTGTTATTAGATTTTGTTTCGACGCGATAAGCTTAACGCATATGTCGTATGATACTTTCAACAACCCCTGTCGCTTTACAGATTTGGATCAATTCCCTTATATCAGTCAGGATCAACTGCTGGCAACAAACCCTTTCCTCTACAATATTGATTTCTATAACCAGCTGGTTGGTCGCCAGGTATGAACTTATTTTTGAATCTTAATTTAAATGATACATATTATTTTCCGGTAACGACCATTTCAATCAAGAGTTACCAAATCATACGTCATGTACAATGTACAATGTACAATGTACATTATAGCAATGTAGGTCTCAGAACTCAAAGATATCAAACTTTAATTGTGCTCGTTTTAGCAGGTGGCAGAACCGCAAAGAAGTAGCTGCAAGATGAATGACCTTGCACTCGATAACAACCACACAACTACCCCTCTACAAGATGAAATCAGAAACCACACCCTTCCCACCACAATAGAGGAGGCGCACATCCTGATGAGAGATTACTGTGTCCCTCAGGGTAGTGTACTGGGCCCCAAACCAGTGGCCGTTCACAACCAGGAGTTGCAGCGACAGGAATTCCCGCCACAGGGAGAGGGTTACTTTCAATTTCCGGCGGTGAATACTGACCTCAGCTATGAAACTAAAATTACCGGTACTGGTAAATCTCGGCGACGAGCGAGGGGTTCATCCTCGATAACGGCCAACGACCTAGCCCCAGTCGGCTGCTGCCAGAGACCTGGTCCATATCAGTGCAAAGAACAGGTTAATCAGTGCAAAGAACAGGTTAATCAGCCTTCCAGCTCTTCACAGTCACCTTCGCAGGATAATAAAACGAGCATGGCAGACCGTAAGTTTATCTAATTTAAAGTGTTTCTGTTTCTGTTTCTGTTTCTCGTTTATTATTTGAGAAAGTTTGAAGTTGTCAACAGGAATTATGGATGTTCATGTTAGCTGTAAAAGGCCGCATTGTATTTACCAGTTCGTGGCATATAATAATATGATTTAAAATCCGATACTGTTTCCCGCCTAGTAACTAAGTTAAATAATAAACTATAAATAATAAACTATTATTTAACTTAGTATAAACTATTATTTTACAGTTTTACAGTTGTACTTGTATAAATACAAGTAAAACTGATAGTATTATTTCAGTGCTCCTGTCGGGAATGATACCCTTTTCTCCCCTGGAGAGACCAAATACAGAGGCAGCTCAGATATTTTACAACGCTCCAGCCACCCCTCCTATACTTCCAATAGGTACTCGTCTTTATAGCACTAGAGTCTCGATCTAATAATTTAGTCTTGACAGAAATCAATAGAAATTTGAATAGAAATTTAAATAGAAATTTAAGAAAAGATTAAAAAAGCCTTTCGATTCACTTAACAAATGGAACATTCTTTACTCAGAACTTTGCATCTTAAACCCACTAACCCAGTAAAACATTTGCTACTTGAATTTGCAATACAAGTTCCCAAGTCTCTGAGTTAGCCAGAATGGCAGACCCAGCCGCGCCTGACATATTAATTAAACAAATAATTAATCAATTAATCAATAATTAAATTATTCAATAATTGAATTAATCAATTAATCAATTAATCAATCAATCAATTAATCAATTAATCAATTAATCAATTAATTAATTAATTAATTAAATAAACACGTTATCCCAGACCCGTACAGCTGGAGTGTACCGGAGGTGATGTTATGGCTACGTTGGTGTTCTAGTACCTACGGAATCCCTAATGTTGACCCTCATATGTTTGGGTTCAACGGAAAAGCTCTGTGTGTTCTTACAAAGGCTATGTTTCGGTATAGAGTTCCCAAAGGAAGGGGAGCTTTGCTTCTTTACAAGGTGCAGATTCGTAAGCTTATCAACTTGATGTTTTCAATTTTAATATTCATCATTTTAAACAAGTTGAATTTTAATTAGGCTACAGAGTTAACATACATATAACGAACAGTCTTGACCAATGGACATGTTCACAGCCCAATATCATGTCAGTTTCCTAATGAGCTAATGATTCAAGAAATATCAGGAGACCTTACACGATATCATAATATTTGACATGATAATGGTTGCCTTGAAAATACTAACCTGAACCTACCCCCACTCAGGAGATAAGAAACAGAAAGAAGCACGCCGCAGCACAGAGACAAGCCAACGAACTACGGAGTTTAAAGAAAGAAGATCAACTGAGAAGCGAACCTACATCAAACAATCCAGTAGAATATCATGAGCTAAACCCTAAATAGGCCTCTATTGATGAACAATAACAAGTAATCCAGTAGAATATCATGAGCTAAACCCTAAATAGGCCTCTATTGATGAACAATAACAAGCAATCCAGTAGAATATCATGAGCTAAACCCTAAATAGGCCTCTATTGATGAACAATAACAAGCAATCCAGTAGAATATCATGAGCTAAACCCTAAATAGGCCTCTATTGATGAACAATAACAAGCAATCCAGTAGAATATCATGAGCTAAACCCTAAATAGGCCTCTATTGATGAACAATAACAAGTAATCCAGTAGAATATCATGAGCTAAACCCTAAATAGGCCTCTATTGATGAACAATAACAAGCAATCCAGTAGAATATCATGAGCTAAACCCTAAATAGGCCTCTATTGATGAACAATATAACAAGCAATCCAGTAGAATATCATGAGCTAAACCCTAAATAGGCCTCTATTGATGAACAATAACAAGTAATCCAGTAGAATATCATGAGCTAAACCCTAAATAGGCCTCTATTGATGAACAATAACAAGCAATCCAGTAGAATATCATGAGCTAAACCCTAAATAGGCCTCTATAATCTATTGATGAACAATAACAAGCAATCCAGTAGAATATCATGAGCTAAACCCTAAATAGGCCTCTATTGATGAACAATAACAAGTAATCCAGTAGAATATCATGAGCTAAACCCTAAATAGGCCTCTATTGATGAACAATAACAAGCAATCCA